GCACTATCTATGTGGCGTGTCGTGTGAGGTGTTCACGGATCATAAGAGTTTGCTGTATTTGTTCAAGTAAAAGGAGCTCAATTTGAGGCAGAGAAGGTGGTTGGAGCTATTGAAAAACTATAATATTGCGTACGTTCCAGTCGGTGAGAGACCGCTTTCATTAGACGTTCAGGCCTTAGCCAATCAGTTCGTGAGGCTGGATGTTTCTGAGCCTAGTCTTTTTTTAGCTTGCACAGTCGCTCGGTCTTCCTTGTTTGAGCGTATCAGGGAGCGGCAGTATGATGACCCTCATTTGCTTGTCCTTAGGGAAACAGTGCGGCACAGTGATGCCAATAAGGTTACGGTTGGAGATGATGGAGTTTTGAGGATGCAGGGTCGTGTTTGTGTGCCTAATGTGGATGGACTTTGTGAGTTGATTCTAGAGGAGGCCCATAGTTCCTGGTATTCTATTCACCCGGGGGCTGCCAAGATGTATCAGGACTTACGACAACATTATTGGTGGAGGAGGATGAAGAAGGATATTGTTGCATATGTAGCTCGGTGTCTAAATTGTCATCACGAGCATCAGAGACGTGGTGATTTGCTTCATAGGATAGAGATTCCTGAGTGGAAGTGGGAGCGTATCACTAGGGATTTCGTTGTTGGACTCCCATGAACTCAGAAGAAGTTCGATGCAGTTTGGGTTATTGTGGATAGACTGACCAAGTCAGCGTATTTCATTCCTGTGGCAGTTACTTATTCTTTAGAACGGTTGGCAGAGATTTATATCTGTGAGATCGTTTGTCTTCATGGGATGCCTGTGTTTATCATTTTTGATCGAGGTACGCAGTTTACCTCGCATTTCTAGAGGGCAGTGCAGTGTGAGTTGGGCACGCAGGTTGAGCTGAGCACGGCATTTCATCCTCAGATGGACGGACAGTCCGAGCATACTATTCAGATCTTGGAGGATATTCTCCGCGCATGTGTTATAGACTTTGGAGGATCGTGGGATCAGTTCTTGCCGCTAGCGGAGTTCACCTACAACAACAACTATCAGTCAAGCATTCAGATGACTCCCTATGAGGCATTATATGGTAGACGGTATCGGTCGCCGGTTGGATGGTTTGAGCCGGGGGAGGCTCGGTTATTGGGTACAGACTTGGTACAGGATGCCTTGGATTAGGTTAAGATCATTCAGGATAGACTTCGCACAGCTCAGTCCAGGCAAAAGAGATACCGATCGTAGGGTTCGTGATGTGGCATTCATGGTTGGAGAGAGAGAGTGTTGCTTCGGGTATCGCCTATGAAGAGTGTAATGAGGTTTGGAAAGAAGGGCAAGTTGAGCCCAAGGTATATCGGGCCTTTTGATATCCTTGAGCGAGTGGGAGAGATGGCCTGCATACTTGCGTTGCCACCAGGCTTATCAGCGGTACATCCAGTATTCCAAGTGTCCATGCTTCGGAAGTATCACTGCGATCCATCCCACGTGTTAGATTTCAGCACTATCCAGTTGGACAAGGATTTGACCTACGAGGAGAAGCCGGTAGCTATTCTAGACTGGCAGGTTCGTCAGTTAAGGTTGAAGAGTTATCCTTCAGTTCGAGTGCAGCGGGGAGGTCAGCCTGTTGAGGCAGCTACCCGGGAGTCCGAGTCCGATATGCGGAGCAGATATCCCCACCTTTTCACCAGCTCAGATACTTTTCTATGTCGGTTCGAGGACGAATGGTTGTTTTAGAGGTGGAGAATGTGATGACCCAAAAGGTTCATCTTGTTTTAGAACTCGATTTCGTGTTCCGAGGCCTTCAAAACCTCATTTTATTCCTCCTCGATTTGCATGCGCAGTCCGGGCGTGTTTCCGGAAATCTTTTATATTGAAAGTTGATAAAAATAATAATTTTTGCCTTTAAAAGTTGATTTAGTTGACTTCGGTCAACGTTTTCAGTAAACGGGCCCGGACTTGTATTTTGACAGTCTCGGTGGGTCCGTATCGAAATATGGGACCTAGGCGTATGTCCGGAATCGAATTCCGAGATCCCTAGCTCAAGAAACGAATTTTTGATGAAAATTGAAAGCCTGAAAATTAAATGGCTTTAAAAATTTGGTTAAAGTTTGATCTCGTTGGTATCGGGTCCGTATTTTGGTTTTGAAGCCCGGTACAGGTTAAATATGATATTTAAGACTTGTCTATGAAATTTGGTGAGAAACGGAGTTGGTTTGACGTTATTCGGACGTCCGATTGTGAAGTTAGAAGTTTTAAAACTTTCTTGAAAATTTCATTCAATTTGGTGCTAAATTCGTAGTTTTAGGTGTTATTTGACGATTTGATCGGGTGAGCAAGTTCGTATGATGTTTTAAGACTTGTGTGCATGTTTCATTTGGAGCCCCGAGGGCTCGGGTGAGTTTCGGATAGGCTACAGAGTGTTTTGAACTTAGGAAATTTTTCTGGTGTACTTCAGGTCTGCAGACTTCGCATTTGAGAAGTCTGGCTCGCAAATGCGAGCCTCACATTTGCGAAGAAATCATCGCAATTGCGAGCAATTGGGCTAGGGGTGGACTTCGCATTTGCGAAGATTAGGATTGCAATTGCGATCACCTCAGGTCGCATTTGCGAACAATAGTTCGCATTTGCGAAGGCAGCAGAAATGTGAAGAGTTCGCATTTGCGAAACGTTTCTCGCATTTTCGAGCTTCGCAATTGCGAATCCCAGGTCGCAAATGCGACATCTGCAGCTGTTCAAAACTTAAGTTTGACGGGATTTTCTCTCATTCTTCACATTTTTCAAATCCTAGAACCCTAGAGGCGATTCTCCCAAGATCAATTCTTCCCCAAAACTTTGGTAAGTGATCCTAATCCACTTTCTTTCAAATTCCCATCACATTCTATGAATTTTCAACCAAAAATCTAGGATTTTCATGGTAGAAATTGGGGGTCTGGGTAAAATTAGGGATTTTTGGGAAAATGGGATTTAGACCTCAATTTAGGGTCGGATTTAAAAACTAATTACATACTCGGGCTCGGGGTTGAATGGGTGAATGGATTTTGATCAGAACCCCGAGTTTTGACCAAGCAGGTCCGGGGTCGGGTTTTTGACTTTTTGGGGGAAAGTTTGGGAAATCTAAAAGTTATGTGTTGTAATTGATTTCTTTAGCAATATTTGATGTTATTAATTAAGTTAATTATGGCTAGATACGAGTGGTTTGGAGGTGGAAACTAGAGGAAAAGTGGTGATTGAGCAGTGAGTGGCATGTGGATCGTGGTAAGTGTTGTGTCTAACTTTGACTCGAGGGATTAGGAACCCTTGACTCAATTGCTATGTGAAAATCCATGTGGGTGGCGTATATGTGAGGTGACGAGTACCTATGCGCCGCCAATGTATCTGTTTTCCCAATTTTCTTCCCGTTCTTATCATATTGTCTTTTCCTGCCATAACTGCTACATGCTTTACTTATAGTTCCTTGCCTAATTGCTACTTGTTAGACATTATATCTTTTGTCGGAAGTGTTAGTTCTTTTGTAGTTTCGTTGTCTCCTATTATTGTTTGAGCTGGTTACTGGTACTTTCAAGGCATCTTATGGATTGGTCTCACTGAGTAGTATTACTTGTGTAAAGTCTCATAGTGAAAATCTTTCTAAATGCTTTGATTTGAAGTTGAGCCTTGTGATTTGATATTTGTAATTTTTGTGCTTGCTGAGTAAATTATGGTGGGATCGGGTTGTGCGCCGCAACAGGTGTAGTAAGGGTGGAATGTGGTGAGATAAGGGTGAATTGTGATTGTTATTATTGTGATACGGTAGGATCGGGTTGCGCGCCGCAACAGGTGTAATAAGGGTGGATTGTGGTGAGATAAGGGTGAACTGTGATTGTAATTATTGTGATATGGTGGGATCGGGTTGCACGCCGCAACAATCTTTGTGCTTATGTTTTCCTTTGACTGTGTTAGCTGAACGGTAGTCTTAAACTGTACTTAAGGATTGGTTATAGCTGAGCACTCGTGATATGTTTCGGAAACTGTATTCATTCCTTGCAAGTTACTGCTTTATTTTATCCTGTCCTTCTTTCTGCTTTTATTATACACTATATGCAGGTTATATTGTAAATGTCCCGCCGTAGCCTCGTCACTACCTCGTCGTGGTTAGACTCGGTACTTACCAGTACATGGGGTCAGTTGTACTGATACTGCACTCTGCACTTTCTGTGCAGATTTTGGAGCAGGAAGTGGCTGATCGAGAGATTGGTTGCAACTTTTACAACTAGGAGACCCAAGATAGTCCTGTTGGCGTCCGCAGGACCTGCGGCCCTGGCGTCCCCTCCTATGCTCCTACATTTACTGTTTTACTTCCCTTCATAAACAGTTGTATTTTCTTTTGAACAAGTGTTTGTAGAAAATCTTAGTGTGTTCGTGGATTGTGACACCAGAATAGTAATAGTAATAGTATTGGTAATTGTATATAAACAAAAGGCTATTTATTTACTTCCGCATTTATTTTTACTGGTTTTGGCTTGTTTATTGCTAATCACTAAAACGTAAAGGATTTGACAAAATTAAAACTCTAACGTTGGCTTGCCTAGCAAATGTGATGTTAGGCGTCATCACGATCCCGGTTGTGGGGATTGCGGGTCGTGACACTTTATCTAAGCATCTTTAACTTCTATGGAGGCAAGGTGGAAGGTCCTCATCTGTTCTGTGTAAACTTTTTGATTTGATATAAAAGGAAGACGACACCTACGATGTACTTAAAAAATAATAATTCATAATCCATAAACTTCGAATCATAAATTTGCAGAGAGTATCTTTTCTACGTTAACTATGTTAAGGCTAGGATGGGAATTGGGATATCAGAATAATGTACTATTTTGGTGATGTTAGTATTGGTTAAAACAAGAAAGACTCAATCCCGTTCTTTAAAGGAAAATTATTTCCACTTTGTTAACACCCGAAATACTCTAGCTTGATTGCTGCATTTGAATTGGGAGGGGAGAGGGGGAGAGGGGAGAGAAATATGAATTAATGAATTTGTAGAAACATAGAAGTGATCAATTCATAAACAATCCTCTCAAAATATAATATAGCTCCTCTTAACAACAACATCCGAAAAAAAAACCAAGTGAATGTATAATCCAAAGTACAGGTAAGGAAATGAGCCATCATAATCCTCCTAAATAAAGAGATGGCAATTCATATATATAGAGACAAAAGCAAATGATCATGCAGGATTTAAAAAAGAGTTCTACATTAGAAAGCACAGTAGACCCCATCCTAAGACTAAACTTTTAACAATTGGTGTTGACAACTTCAGGCCTTCCACTCCACTCTGCAAATTAAATATGCATCCAAATATCAAAATATGACGATGAGAATAATTGATCTTAACAAGAGTTACTAATTACTCCCTCCATTCTTTTTTCAGTGATCATTTCAAGGGTTTGACACACCCATTAAAAATATTACTTGATAGTATTAATTAAATGGTTATTTTACAAAAAGAAACCTTTAATATATGCATAGGAAAATGTACAAAGAAGTCTTGAAAGACTTCTTATAAGTTTGTTCAACATTTATTATACAAGGGGAATCTTGCGGGGAAAATTAGTATCTTTTTGATTTCTTGAAAAGTTACTTACTATTTTAACACAAATTTAAAAGGGAATGGAGGGAGTATTAAATAGGATTGCCACCTTATAAAACTAAAGGAAACAAGGAAATCGAAAATATAAAGATCTATAATGATGATTATGAATCTCAATCAAGAATAAAAGTTTTTAAATTAGGGGTAATTACTTAAACAGTCAATTGTTAAGGGATGGGTTGTTTTGCAGACAATGTAATGCAGTGATTATAATGTAGGAATTGCATTATTAAGGATTAAATTAAATAATTGTTTGTTCATTGCATTATAAATGAAAATTTTAACATAAAATATAATGTTCTTTACAATTTTACCCTTGTTTTAAAGCGAATAAAATAAAAAGATAAAATCAAATTAATTCTTATTTGGTCTTTTCTAGGTGTTTTATCCCCATAAAATGATTTGCCTTATAAGTGAATGTTAAACTGAAAACTAAATTATTTATACACAAACTAATAACTTAAAAACTAAAAATAAAATGATTTTTACTTATTAGTATTCTATTGGTTGTAAGATTATTCACACTTTTACGTATATATTTAGAGCATATCTTAAATATTGAACTTGTTTAAAGCTACATACAATCAGATCCTATACACGGATCCAACATATCCGATCCGCAATATATATATATATATAGAGAGAGGGGTATATTTTTCATTTTTCATTTTAAATTCTTAATCAACTCCAAAATGATAAAGAAAGAAAATAAAATACCTGATCAGTGGCTGAAGGAGCAGGAGATAAAGCTCCAAGACTGGGAGCTAGAGCTGGAGCACCAGTGGGAGGTAAGGGAGGACTCAATGCGGAAGGAGATGGTGCCGGAGATGTTAACTTCTTTGCAGGAGCAGGAGCCGGGGATGAAGCAAGAGGTGCTGGTGAAGGAGCTGCAGGCGGAGGAGGGGTAGCTGGAGGTGGTGGAGAACTCACTGCAGGTGGAGGAGGAGTAGCTGGTGCTGGTGGAGGTGTAGATTGTACAGCTGGAGGAGGTGAAGTTACAGTAGGAGGTGGGGATGAAACTGTGGGAGGTGGTGAAGCAGTTGGCGGTGGCTGAGCTGGCGGCGTTTGTGTGTTAACTGGAGGAGGAGAACCAGTAGGTGTAGGAGGAGCTGGGGTAGTAGTAGGTGTTGGAGGTGCTGGGGCATTAGTGGGTGTTGGTGGTGCTGGTGTATTAGTTGGTGTTGGTGGCGCTTGGTTAGTGGGCGTTGGAGGAGCTTGGGTGGTGGGTGTTGGTGGTGCTTGGGCAGTGGGTGTTGGAGGAGCTTGAGTGGTGGGTGTTGGTGGTGCTTGGGTGGTGGGTGTTGGAGGAGCTTGGGTGTTGGGTGTTGGGGGTGCTGGGGTGTTAGTAGGTGTCGGTGGTGCTTGACCACCAACTCCGGCGATGACAATGCAGATAAATCCGAACAAAACAGCAATTTTCCCCATCATCTTAACAACGGAGAGAAGAAAAAGGAAAGGAGAGAAGAAATTTCTGCTGCTTGGACAGAGAGGTTTAGAGGGAGAATATATAAGGGTCTGTCTAAAGGAAGTGCGTACTTTTGAAGTGAGAGTAGAAAGGTGGCAAGTCTTTCTACGATTTGTAGTAACACTAGCTATGTGAGCTGTGACTACCGAATAAAGTATACCTAGATCAAATGATGTTATATTGTTGTCTTACGTTAGTTAGTACCACGGAGTTTAAAAAAAATGACTACTTTTGGAATTTGTGGTCCTAAACAAGTCAAAAATTAGCCCAGAGTATTTGTGTGATTATAAAAGTTTCTCATTAAGGTTGGAATTGAAAGTTTAAGCTAAATTGTTTTCAACTTTAGAAAGGGATCATTCTTTTTTAAAGGAACCAAAAAGAAAATAGCTTCACATAAATGACCTCGACCATTGCTAGTAGGTCTCGCACCGGAAATGGAATGTCGAGTTGTTGTTCAGCTTATCAAAGAAGTTAGGGTCATTATTTAAGATTGCAAATACTTGTTGGAATAAGCTATCAAAGGGAATATTAGACATAATTGAAGAGGAACAAACAAATGTGCTGACTTTTTTGGCCAATAAATAATTAGGTCACGACCATAAAGAAGATATCAGGAAAGATGCAATTAAGGAAATGGAATTTTTCCTCCAGATTTAAGCAATCTAGCTTATGAAAGATTTTAATATTTTTATTTAGTATCTCTTATAATATTACCAAAAATAATTGTACTGCTCTTTATTTCACTCGGCCACCATGTAGTTTATGTGTTGTTGAAAAACAACAAAGAAAACAAAGTTCGTATGTTTCACGTTATTTTAGACAAGACATTGTAATGTAAAATTATATATGTAAACCTTAAACATGCTAATGTGAATTTTGGTAAAGCAGCATCCTCTAAAATGATTGCATGCTGGGGCAGCGTGTACCCGGGGCGTATCTAAGTCTTAGGCAGTGGGTTCACGTGAACTCATACTCCTTTCTCTAAATTATTTATAATAGTGTTATATTTTTTTAAAATTACTTAATTATATGTGCGTGAACCCCTGCTCAAAGACTTCTATGGTACAATAATCATTGGGTGCACCTCTATGAGTAAAATTGGTGGTTCAATTAATCCCACTCTGGACAGTCTTATTTTCAGCACGGAGTATAAATATATACGTGAAAATCACTAAAATTTTAAAAAGAATATAATTTTAAACTTATATTTTCAAAAGTGTAGTAGGTACATGGTAGATACTAAAGTTAAACTCGTCAAATATAAATTCTAAGTCCGCATCTTTATGATAGTGTATCCATCCTGTTCAAATCCTAAATCCGCCTCTATGTAGTCGTGCCAGATGAGAGAAGGCAGTGCTCAAGAAACGAGTGGGGCCAAATCCCTAATAAGAGAGCCGGTTGGTATATATTGATTCGAAAGGAAGGAAGATCATTCGACGTAATTGTGAAGCCATTTTAATTTGCTTGCAAAGCAATTCAACTTTCCACTCTCCACTCTCCACAAATAATTTGGGCTTTTCTTCATTAATAATGATAGTAATCCTCAGCAACAGACAGGTTTATTAAGTGGGAGATCGTCACGTTACCTTTTTTAAAGCCCAACTCATGAGTTTTGCATTATCATTATACGTAAATAGTTCTGTTTTGTTACAAGAAGTTCAAATAAGCATTCATAATTAGGTTGATTAAGTTCTCATTCTTTATTTCTTCTACTCTCTTTTTTCAGCTCTTATTGCCCGTCTGTATAGGGTAAAATCGGTTTATATTAAATGATCGAATGATAGCGTGACACGTGGAACCGCAGACATGCGAAAGACAATTCGAGTGAGAACCAAGACCGAAAACAACAGCTACAGTTGGCATCAGGCTGACCCCGAAGGGAACATGATCAACGTGAACAGAATCAAATGCTTGCCATCGGATAGCATTCGACTAAGAATATTCCCTGACATTAAATAGGTAGCCGTTGCAGAGAATATTTATATTCATGGCCGGCCGTTACATATTCATCAATGACCATCTTTATTGTCATTTAAGAGGAGCTTGATCCTAGGATCTTGATTCCTTAGGTCTAGGTATAAATAGTAGGCAACAACCATTGTAAGGACACGAAATCATTGGCATAACTTCTACTACATTCTATTCTCAAGCTCAATAAGATAATTTTACTTGTTCTTAAATATTATTCTTATTTCTGTCTTCAGAACCATCGCTCCCGGAGCCAGACCTGCCATTTCCTTTGATTTTTACGCTAAGTCTTACTTTTAATCGTATTTATTCATTATTTTTTGGTTCAAATCAGTTCTATTGTCTATAAACTACATAACAAATTTAACTGTACCGTTTTATGGGTAAATAATTTGACGTCCACCGTGGGGCTTAGACAATTGCGTAATTGAGTTGGTCCTTGCATCGATTACTAACTCGTTTTATTCTTTGTTTCATAGCAAAAAATCGAAAATGGAAGCTAACGATGTCAACATCGCACACAACGTTGAGGCTCATGAAGATCTGCCTCAACATGAGGATTCAATCAGTGACACCCGCAACAAAGGGGACGTAAGAACTCCGGTCCATGGAGGACAATACCCCTACATGTGTGGGAACCAACTCCAGATGATGCAGAGGACGAACAAGTAGCGGAAACGGTAAGGAACTTGAGAGAGCAACAGATTGCCATCATGAGCCATCTCTCAAGGCAGGACCAGGTCATGACGGAGTTGAAGCATACAGTATCAGGTGCTTCAAACAATGCAAACGGAAGAGGCCCAACTCCTCCCGGCGCTCCTACAAATCAAACAGCTCAAAGAGTTGATAACAACACCCCGAGGGGTGAGGTCGATTTCGACGAAGTCGGGGGAACCGATAGAGGATCTGGTAATAACAACGGTAATGATCCCTTCAAAACCAAACTCATGATATTCATGAGGGAGATGAACGAGCGGATGGATCAGAACGCAAAGGAGTTTCACACCCGAATGGACTAGATTCCGGGCGCACCACCAGTTTTGAAGGGCCCAGATTCGAAGAAGTACACCCTATTGCCGTTTAAGCCGAGTGCAACACCAGAATTGATTCCGAAATTGTTCAAGATGCTGGACATTCCAAAGTACGATGGGACCTCGGATCTTCAGGAGCACATCACAACTTATACAGCGGTGGTGAAAGGGAACGACTTGGCTCAATATGAGATTGAGTCGGTTCTGTTGAAAAAGTTTGGAGAAACCCTCATGAAAGGGGCCTTGTCATGGTATTCACTTTTACCGAGCATTCGATTGACTCTTTTGAAATGCTCACAGATTCATTCATAAAGGCCAATGCCGGGGCCTAAAAGGTCCAAGCCAGGAAAGTGGACGTATTCAGGATCGCACAGGGAGAGTCCAAATTGCTGCTGGAATTCGTTATTAGATTCCAGAAAGAGAGGATCCTGCTACCGGTCGTACAAGATGAATGGGCAATTGAGGCATTCACTAAGGGTTTGAACCCAAGGAGCTCCAACGCCTCCCGAAAGTTGAAGGAAAGCCTGCTCGAGTTCCAAGCGACTACATGCGCAGATGTCTATAACCTCTATGAATCGAAGATAAGGATAGATGATAATCAGCTCCGGTTCCAGACATCAACCAAAGGACGGGACCGAGACAAGAAACGTGATAAGGTCGAGGATGATTTTGATGCAAATTGATGATCTTCTAAAGTACGCTTTATACCATACGAGAGAGCCGACGAGCGCGGAAGTAAAGGGTTCTGGTCCTCGGATAGGTTCGCTCCCGAAAAAGGAACTGATCGTGGCCGGAACAAGTCGTTACAAAAAAAAAGTATCGGGGACCCAGGATTCCACTTATCCCAGGTTATCAGATTACAATTTCAACATCAGCATAGTGGAGTTGGTATTGGCGATGAAAAATATCAAAGAAGCACGATTCCCGAAGCCAATCAGATACGATTCCAGCCAGAGAGAACCCAACTTATGGTGCAAATATCATGGGACTTATGGTCACTGAATTGGGGACTGCCGGTATCTACGCGAGGAGGTTGAAACACTGTTGAAGAACGGCCATCTCAGGGAGTTCTTGAGCGACCGAGCCAAGAACAATTACGGCCGCATCCGGGACAACAGAACCCTCGAAGATAGGGGAAGACCTTCCTTGGTTGACTATCAACATGATTTTTGGAGAGAATGAAATCAATGGTGTAACCTTCTCGGCGGACAAGAAGCCAAAAGTATCAGTGACCCACAGCAAGAGGTTCCACAAAGTCATCAAAGACAACATCACCTTCACGGAGGAAGACGCCGACGGACTTCTTCTACCGCACAATTACACCTGTGTAATTTCTCTTAATGTTCTAGATCTCAAGATTAAACATGTTTTGGTTGACCCAGGAAGCTCAGCTAACATCATTCATTGGAGAGTGCCGGAACAAGCCAAATCAACTGAAATATATCATTCCGGCAACAAAGCTCCTCGCCGGATTCAACTTCGCAAGTGTGACAACCCGAGGGGAGATCCTGCTACCCACGAACGCCGAAGGGGTTACGAAGAACACCTTAATTGAAGTGGTGGACGGTGACATGGGCTACAACATAATTCTCGGTAGACCATGGTTACATAAAATGAAGGCCATACCATCAACGTATCACCAACTGCTACAATTCCCGAGCCCCAGAGGGAATCAAGCAAATAAGAGGAGATCAACCGGCAGCAAGAGTAATGAACGCAGTGTCAATTTCTAGTTGTAAAGGGAAGGAACCCAAAAATAGCAACACACGAACTGACGCCTGCTCCCGAGCCGAGTGAAGATGATATAGGCGAGGAGTCATCGGAATCCCACCAGGTACCGCGATACTTTCAGGTACCAGAAGAGACAGACGTGACCAAGTCTACGACAAAAGAACTCGAACAAGTGGCTTTGTTTGAAGAGTTCTTGGAGAGAAAATTTCACCTTGGAACAAGACTCAATCCCAAACTGAGGTTAGGATTTATTAATTTCCTTAAAGCGAATGTTGATTGTTTTGCATGGTCGTACTCGGATATGATAGGTATCCCGCTAGAGGTGGCCA